GATCTTTCGTCAAAATTCTTTTAGTATTACCGTAATACGTCGGATATTGAGTTTACAATAATACGTACGTACGTACTGTACATGCGTACTCATGTGCACAGGTAATTTGAACACGCGGTACAGTATTACGAGAGAACATAGTTTCTTGTACCACATTTAAATTCTGTACCACAACATATATAAATATCGAATTACAAATTTCGTTAATGACTCTCATCAAATATGACTAGTGAAATTTCACATAATATAACCCAAAATTTATTTAGAACCAGTTTAGAAAAAAATATAAATAATGAAGTCATCGAGCTTTATGACTGCTCTAAATTCAGCAATATTCAATTTATTGGTTCAGGAACCTTTGGAAAAGTATATCATGCAGAAAGTTCAGGCTTAGATGTTGCTTTAAAATCATTTGACAATAATAACGCAATTATTGTTCAAGAAGTTATAGATGAAGTAATTTGAAATATAATAAAATTTAATATTTTTTTTTATTAAATTTATCATTTATGTTTTAATTTTTAATTAAACCCAGCTTAAATTACACAAAAATCTTAGCATTCATAATAATATTATTAGATTTTATGGTGTTTCCACGAATGAAGGTAAGAATAATTTGAAGTAGAAGGTCTTTGAATTCAAGAGTATTTATTAATTTATTTGTGTTGGTCAAATAATTTTATAATTTATCAAGTTTTTATAATATCGAAATTCGATAACACCTCTAAAAACATTTTTATATTATTTTGTCAAAAATATTTAGACGAAGACAACTTTCAGTACCTCTTAGTTTTTGAGTACGCTGATAGTGGTACATTAAGAGATTATTTACAACTTAATTTTTATAAACTTGATTGGACGCACAAGTTAAATTTAGCGCAACAATTAATTGATGCGATAAATTTTATGCATGAAAATGATATTGTACATGGAAATCTTGTAATTATCAATTTAAGATTTATTTAACTTTTTTTTTCATCAATTATACTGTTTACTATATTTTAATTTCTTTATTATATTTATTAATTTGAATTAATTTTATAGAATTCAGGCAATATTTTAGTTCATAATAATATCATAAAAATCGCTGACTTTGGGCTTTATAGAAGATTTTATAAAGCATCCAACATGTCAAATAATCTTTTGAGAAACTTACCATATGTAGATCCAAAATGCCTTCAATCTAAATATCCTTATGAAATAAACAAAAAATCAAATATATATAGTCTAGGTATAATTCTATGGGTGATTTCTAGTGGTCGTCCTCCATTTGAAGCAGCTGATAAATTTTCAGAATTGGCTTTAAATATCCTAAAGGGTGCCAGAGAGAATCCTATAGAAGGAACACCGATAGCCTACGTTAATTTATATACTGGTGCGTGTAAAATTTAACTACAGATACATTCAAATTTATAATTTATTAGAAAAAAAAACAATTTATATAATCACATTTATAATTTGCAAACTATAATATTAGATTGTTGGCAAGAAGATCCAGAAAAACGTCCCAACATACAAGAAGTTTCGAATTTAATTAATTATAAAATATTGCAACATCCAGGTTTGTTCACGCATGTTAAATTAGATAAATCCTATGAATTTTTTAAAAAAATAGTTGAAGAATTATGTGATTTAATTATTGAAGAAAAAATGAAAGGAAGAACAGCTACAATGATTGTTGATAGAATGGGACAATTTTTTATAGAAAAACGACAAAGACCAGAAAATATTATTGATTGGTGTTTAAATAATCAAATTAATCCTATAGTTCAATGTATTCTTGCAACTTGTTATTATTATGGAAAATGGGTAGCAAGAGATGAAAAAAAAGTTTTTGAATTTAGTCAAAAATCTGTTGAAGGTGGATTTATTGAATCTTACAATTGGCTTGGTATTTGTCATGCTGAAGGTTTAAATACTCAAGTTGATGAAAAAAAAGCTTTCGAATGTTTTCAAAAAGCTGCTAATGGTGGTTCTGCATTAGGATTTTATAATTGTGCTTACCATTATGAAAATGGTGTAGAAACTGAAAAGGATGAAATTATGGCTTTTAAATTATATCAAAAATCTGCTGAAGGTAGGTATATTGGTGCATACAACAATCTTGGTTATTGTTATGACATAGGTAGAGGAACTGATGTTGATAAAAAGAAGGCATTTATATATTATCAAAAGGCCGCTAAAGAAGGTTTAGCTGCAGGACAGTATAACCTTGCTGTTTGTTATTATGATGGTGATGGGACTAAGGTGAACAAAAGAAAGACTTTTAAATTATACCAAAAATCTGCAAAGGGTGGGTACACGTTTGCGTATAAACAACTTGGTGAATGTTATAATTTTGGAATAGGAACTAGGATCGATGAGGAAAAGGCATTTGAATGTTATCAAAAAGCTGCTGATGGCAGCTCGGATAAGATAATGTAGTTATATAATAAACTTATAGTTTTTTTTAATATTAATTAAATAGGTTTATATAGTTTTAACTTAATTACTAAATTTATAATATAATAGCCTTAACAATATTAATTAATAATAAATTTTTTTAAATAAATAAAATCTTAAATGATAATTTCTTATATACAAAGGTAAATACGATATAGGTATTACAACATTATGACGAAGGTAAGAGATGATTAGATGCAGATAAAGGATAAATAAATTGAATCAAATTATGAATTTGTTTATATGAGCGTCGCCAAAGAAACTCGCAAGAGAACGTATTCTGGTAAGTCTGAAATCTGTGCAGGTTATGTCGACAATTGCCGATTGTAGACAAAATTCGTAAATAATACTATTCTAACTATAGTATTACTTCTAATTAAAATTTCAGCACGAAATTTTAGCTGTATACACGTTTTAAATAAAAAATTCTCAAATAAATAAAAGCTTGCACCATACTGTATTCTAAAGTTTATGCTCTTTTGATGTAGTGACTGACATACCCTGACAGATTCAGACATGCGTTATTCTGGATCCGATTTTTCGGAGATGTACGAAAGACTGCGTTCTTTTGCATAAAAGATTTGACGCATTTATATTATCATAAAGGAAAGCTTAGATAGATATGAAAAATCAATTACAAATTTCAATAATCATTAAAAGATCGGCCGAATGATGCAGATCTTATGTTCTAGTGAAAGATTTCCTGCATGATCAGATGCTAAGACTTACTCGAAGATTTAAATCAATTTGAATTATAATAAGTAAAGTATTACTAACTATAATACTTGGCACTATTTCGAAATAATTAAATTTGTAACTATATAAAAGTTGTGTCTGTATTATAATAGAAGGTTATGTGACAATTACATTATTGATATCCGACTACATGTTTTTAGTGTTGATTTAAAATAGAATGCATATTCAATAAATAGTTATTACAACAAAAGTAACTATTATGTAATATATCTGTTTATTATTTTCGGTTTAAATATATTTAAAATTGTTGATGCCTTTTAACAGTTCAGTATCCTTTAATAATTTGAATCATTTACCAATTTTAATCTATCAACATTTTTATAATGTTTTATGATAATACATTTTTAAAAAAATAAAATAAAATAAATATAATAAAATAAAGCAATTTATAACAAACTAGACATCATATTAACAATTGTAGTTCGACAAAATATCAGATACCATTGCTTCTCCCTATAAAAAAGGTTTGCATAAAATTTGTTTAGCATTTGTGCTGCATGTTTAAAAAGGCGCCATTCTATCTAATTTTTGTCTACCTTTTGTTTTAAAAGAAATAAAACAATAAATAGACAAAAATTAGATAGAATGGCGCCTTTTCAGACATTTTTTACACATGCAGCACAAATATTAAACAAATTTTATACAAATCTTTTTATAGAACTCTACGGTAGAAGTAACCTGGAATTATACACAATCTGATCATCAACTAACGCGGGACTCCTGTAGATATCACATGCTTAGTGCTCCGATCGGGTTGACCCGAACAACCCGAAACCAACCCGATTATAATAGATTTACTATATGGGTCATGACCCATCTAATAGATTTGCTATAACCGGGTTGGTTTCGGGTTGTTCGGGTTAACCCGATCGGAGCACTACACATGCTAATGAATTAGTCTCACCAACACCAATTTGATAAAGAAATAAAGAAATCCGAGTTGTGTTTTTACGAAAAGCCCCCTTTAGTGGTTTTCCTCCTTCAGAAATAAGTTCCTACCGCTTTTTCTGCTTCGAAATCAAATTGATTATTGATAAGAATTAAAGAAGTCAGAGTAGTGTTTATACTAAGTGCCTTTACTAATGCTTTTCCTCCTTCAGACTAAGTTGATTGTTTGAGAGATTTAAATGAGTCAGAGTAGTGTTTACGCAAAGAGCCTCTCTTAACGCTTCTCCTACTTCAAAACCAAGTCGATTATTGGTAAGAACTAAAGAAGTCAGTGTAGTGTTCATACAAAGAACCTTTGCTAATGCTTTTCCTCCCTCAGAACCAAGTTTATTATAAGAAATTCTAAAAGAGTCAGAGTAGTATTCTCACAAAGAGCGTCTGCTATTGCTTTTTCATCCTCAGGACCAAGATGATTATACGAAATTTCTAAAGAGGTTAGAGTAGAGTTCTTACATAGAGCTTCTGCTATTGCTTTTCATCCTTTAGAATTGAGTTCATTATAAGGAAGATTTAAAGATTTAAGAGTGGTGTTTTTATAAAGAATCTCCATAATTATTTCAAAATCACTAGTGTAAAAGTATAAATCTGTAATAGTGATGTTTCTATAAAGATAATTAGACACCATTCTATTCCAAAAAGCTCCATTAAAACTTAAATCTTTAAGTGATCTGCTTGTTCGTAAGAACATTGCAATTAAAGAACATTCAACGGCATTTACAAGCTCATCTTCATCCATTTTAAAAGAATCAACAATATATCCTTCACAGTCAAGCCAATTTCTTATCCCTTTCGTGAACCCTCTAACAGATGTAGCATAACTTGCGTAATCAATAACATGTCCTTCATAATCAAGCCAATTTATTATCCCTTTAGTGAACCCTCTAACATAACCTGCGTAATCAAATAATGGTTTTGGATAATTCGGAAGATCAATGTTAAAAGGATTAATAGAGCTTGTTCATCAGCATTTAATGTTGAAAGATACATTCTTATAATTCTTTTATCATCAAAGTGATAAGCTGGTTCCATCCATAATATTGATACGTATAATAATTCTACACCAGCGACGGTTTACAAGAAGGCATGAAAATAAGCTTTTATAATCAGGTCTATAGTAAATCTTAAGGTTATCAAATATTTTAAAAAAGCACTCGTTTGGTATATTATCATTTTTTAAAAACTAAGAATTTTAGTTAAAAATAGATTTTTTTTTTTTTTATTAACTATCAGATATCAATATCGATATATCTTTATATATGTTGTAAGTGGAAACGGAATTTAAGTGGATTTGGAATTTTATAGTTAAATTAAGGTTAGGGTTAGGGTGTGTATATGACGAAATGGGTTTTTTTATATAAAATTCCAAATCCACTTAAATTCCGTTTCCACCTACAACATATATATATACGTACTACAGTACATGATATTTGGTGAAACGCTGTGAATAAAAATAGACAAATTGTGAAACATAAATTTTCTGTGCGGCACCTAGTGTTATACAGGTAAGAACGTTGATGTTATACGACTGATTTTTCACACGGTGTGCAACATATAAAAAAATAATTTTACAAGATCATTCCGCTAGTACATGTTATGATTATAATCCAACACAATTTTTACTAATAAAAATGGTGTTGGATTATAATCATAACATGTACTAGCGGAATGATCTGGTATTGTAAATTATTTTTTTATATGTTGCACACCGTGTGAAAAATCGCTCGTATAACATCAACGTTCTTACCTGTATAACACTAGGTGCCGCGCGGCAGATCCTCGATTTTGATTGGCTAACGGCCGAGGATCTTCAAAATTTTGCCCGCATTACATAATTGTTACTAAATTCCGGCCGAAATTAACTTTTTGATTTTTTCATTACAAAAATAGAAATTTTTAAAAAATAAGTCCGCATTATGGTAAAATTGACCCAGGAACAATTTTACTTAATAGGTGGCTGCGATTTCATTAGTAAAATTATGAGTGATTCCGGCCTAATTTTTTGATCGTCGCTCTTGGCCAATCAAAATCGAGGATCTGCCGCGCATTTTTTGTGCGGCACCTACTGCGTTAGCGAAATTTAATCATATGAATAAGTCTTTGGTAAGTTTTATTCGTCAGAGCATAGGCAAGCAACGTAGAAATTGTAATACTGTTTAATTTTCTTTATTTATTATTCTGCATAATAAAAAAGTTTGGACCAGTCTTTGAACCGGACTGAAAGCTTATTCGGTCCTTGGCCTTGAACCAGTCTGGACCGGTTCAGACAGCTGATCAAAATCATCCAACGCGTGATTTCATTATAAATCTATAGGATATACAAATAATTAGAAAACATCATAATTGTGGCGATTCAAAGACTCTTTTAAGGACTGAAGGGCCGAACCAGACCAACACAACGGGTTTCACATAGTGGCGTAACGTTTTGCAGTTACAAAAATGGTTTGGCAGACACGGAGACGAACTGGCCAAGCTCGATACCAAATTAAATCAAAGATCACCTTCTGGTCTATATACTGTCAAAGTAATTTGGTAATCTGCGAAGTAATTCGGAAGTTAGATGAGAGGTATGTTTGGACGTTTAAAATTAGCCTATAGGTATAATAAATTAATCAAACTCAACAATTTAAGCCGTTTTTTGTTTGTGAAAACTTATTTTTTGTGATCTTGACTAATAAAGAAACCTGTCTATAATATAGGCTAATAATATGAAGTTGAGAGCCATGAGGATAATAGATTTCATGAGAAGAGTTAAAGAAAATACTGTAGCAATACTTTAACCTTGTAACGATTGTTAAATAGAATTAATTAGTTTGATATTAGAGCGAATATTATAAGTTATTTTTGGCATTTTTTTTTATTGTTTATTAGCATTATAGGATAGGTTTAATCATTTATTTTTTGTATTTTTATTTTTTGTTTCTTTTCTTTCTTTGATTTGTAATGTATTAAAGTTTTTTAATAAAATTTTAATTTATTGGAGTTTTCTGATTTTGTCCGGTTTTGTTTTTGATAAAATTATAATTTTAGGTTTAAATTATCGAGATTTTATAGTAAAGACTTTTGCTAGTGTTAACTTGATTATAGATATAATTATTTTCTACATATTATTATTTTTTTTTTATTCGTGATTCGATATTTTTATTATTCTTCGATCATTCAATAAAATTTTTAAAATACAGTAATATCACGAGATGATCTACAAAAATTGGCCAATCACTATGAAAGCCCGCTATGTTGACCAGACCGAATAAATAATTGATCGGTTCTATTAGGGCTGGAAACGTATTGGACCGAACCGATCCAACCCTACTAATACGGTATCATAATATTATTATTACTACGTAATTACTTTCGGGCGTCTCAAACACAACTTATAATTTCGTTATCATTAGAAAAAACTGTTTTAATTAATTCAAGCATAGAATTTTTAGCAAATAATTCGTGACAATTGTTAATGATTTAATTCAATATGCTTTTAACAAATATACTATATTGTATTTCCTCTAATATTAACTGCTAAGAACTGCACCTTTACAATATATTCTCATCTGTAATATTTAATAAAGAAATTGCCACATTCTTAAAAACAATATAATTGTTATCATTCGACACTGAATTCTGCATTAAAATCCTTATTCTAACGATCTTAAATTATGAACATTAAACCTTACACAAATAAAAATGCAATAAGAACGAAAAATGCCCATACGCTAAATCTCATCATCGAAAATTGCTTTTCAATGTTCTTGGTATCTTCACCTAATCTACCAGTGAACCAGTCGAATCTCCATCCAACATAACCCCACTCTTTTCTGATTAGTATTCCATAAAGTCTTCCTGATTCACTAGCCATTCGTATGATGGTTGATTCTGCTGCCGCGATTATGCGACGATATCCTTTCAATTCTGGAACATATGATTCAGGTTCTAATATCACAAAACGAATAATATCAATAAACATATTCGCAACAATTACTAATAATAGTGACATATTTGTAAAGAACGTTAGCTCATTTAATATTTTGTCGCTTATCAAAATTTTTGCCAAAAGGAGAATTATAAGAAGAGACAAGTGCATTAATAAAAGTTCTGCGTTATTGGGGAAATTGTCTCTATAGGAGTATTCTGGATACATTTTAATTAATCTTCCATCACCATACGCCCATTTGAAAAATCTAAGATATGATCTTTTTCCATTATTCCACCAAGGATGCATTGCTCTTACTGAAGGTGCTCCTCGGAAACCTTCACCGTCTTTAATATTTTGTGTGAAAAATTTACTTTTTTGAAGACAATAATCAATGTCTTCACCACCTCCTGTTATCGGGAATTGAGGATCAAACTTAATATTATCTTTATAACGACGAACTAATAAGTTTGCCGTCACTCCCCATGGAACGTTTTCCTCAATTTGCTCTGCAATGTCCCAAAAATAAGTTACTCCTGCCATTTTCACGGCGCTTGTAAAAATTGCTTTATGCGGATCTGGGAATTTTGTACATCCAACAAATCCACAGGCGTTTGGATACTTGCGGATTACTTTCTCTGCTTCTATTAGAATATCTGGTTGTGGGACTACATCATCATCTAGAAATAAAACATAATCCGCATTAGATTCTGATAATCCACGATTTCTAGCTTCGCTTGCACCAAGGTTTTTTCCTTGGACACGAATTTTAATGAATGCGTCATATTCAAATTTTTTTAGATCTCGAATATATGGTGAATTTGGATTATCCACAATAAATATTATAGATGTAGAAGCGGTATTTGATCTTTTGAGCCGGATTATAGGCTCTAGAAATTGCATTTGAACCCTGTACGTTGGCACAATTATATCTAGAGTAAGGAGTTTAGGAGCAGGATTTTCGATATTTTTGTGCATCCATTTTTCAACAGATAATACTGCATTATCTAAAACCGAAAAGCTCCAGTCATGAAATATTCTTTTATAACGAGGTTTTTTACTGCCTCCTATAAGATTCATGAGTTTAATTTTTTTGGACATTATTGAACAACCGAAGCGCCGATATAATTGGAAAAGAAAAGGGTCTGCATCTTGATTGGTAAATACATCAGGAAATGGTTCACCATTAAATATATCAATATTGAGTCGTGACATTACAGGAAATGTAGGAAATCCCGGAAATGTTAATTCTGTAAATGCAACTATTCCAAAACCACATGGCACTTTTTTTTCATTTGAAATTTTCATAAACTCTTCATGAATTTTCGACATCCAGTTGGTGCTTTCAATTATGATGTCATCACCCAAAAGTACTATATAATCACACGTTTGATTATACGCGTCTATTGCTAAATCGTGCCAAATTTTGCATATAAATCCAGGAGGCAAATCAAATTCACGCGTTTCTACATCATCAAATCCGTGTTCTTTAAGTATTTGCTCAGCTATATTATTCTCAATAGGATGGAATAAAGCGTCGTCCTTATCAATCCCTATAAAGAACTTTAGAGAAAATTTAATACCATTCATACCCGCAATGTCTATCTGTGTAGTTTCATAAACACTCTGGGCGAAATTATGGAGATTATGAAGACAATCTTTCGGACTTTCTAAGCCGCGAGATGTAATCGGAAGAAGAATTCCGAACTTGATTCCTTCTTTTAAAATTTTCGTTACATTACTTTTTCTGTAGTTTTCTTTTAATTCTTTCTTCATTAACTCATTTTCACATTTGTTAAGCTCTTTATCAATTTCATTTTTTATCCACATCGTCGTTCTCTCCATACCTTTTTTAATCGATGTTTTAGGCGACCACCCAAGAACTTGACTAATTAGTGTATTATCCGAATTTCTGTTTTGGACACCGACAGGCTTGTTCTCATCTGTAATCAACCTGACTTGTTCTTTCGCTATTCCAATAGTTTCGAAAGCAATATAAGCTAATTCTCTTATTGAAATAGCATTATCGGATCCAATATTTAATGGTTTAGAATAATCGTTCTCCATTAATTTAATTATGGCGTCGACACAGTCTTCAATGTATAAAAAACTACGACGTTGATCACCCGAACCCCATATCTCCATTTCATAATTCCCCCTTTCGTTGTTTGAACAAATTGCCTTACGAATCAGTGAGGCTAGAGCATTCTCTCTTCCTCCAACCCAATTATTGCCCTCTCCAAATATATTATGGAATCTTGCAATTCTAATTTTTGTCGAATTTTTGAATTCCATTAAAAAAATCTCTCCATTAAGTTTTTCGCGACCGTATAGACCTTCTGGATCGGGTCCAGGTTCTTTATCAGCTATGTACCACGCATCGGTTTCTTTTAGTTTTAAATTCATCTCATTAGGATTCAGTTGTTTTTCTTGCGGGTATATGCATGCCGATGATGCATAAAAGAACCTTTTTATTCCTGACTCAATTGAAGCTTGTGCTATGTTTACTGTGATTAAATGATTATTTTTGTATGTGGTAAAATTGTTTAATTCATGAATAAGCCCTATTCCACCTGTGTTTGAGGCGAAATGAAAAACCCAATCAACACCTTTTACCGCCTTACGGCATATTGACAAGTCTCTTAGATCACCAATAATAAATTCGGTACAATAATTTTCTGGTCTTTCGGATAAATCTTGTGAAATGTCTACAATTCGAACTTGGTCGCCACGATTGTGGAGGTATTTGGCCAAGTGTTTTCCCTAATATACGATTTAAAATTATCAAATAATTATATAAAAATGTAAAAACATTTAACTGCTATTCAAACATAGAAAATTTGCATACTATGAATCCACATCCACCGGTAATTAAAATCTTCAACCCGTTTCTTTCATTAATTTCGGCAACGTTATTTGTTTGCTTGTTCATTTTACGTTATTTTGAGAAATTATTCAAAGGGTTTCTGATATGTATATATACGATGTTTGTCAATTTAACTTTTTAAATTAGACTCTACAATACAACAAGCGTGTGTCATGAATTATGCGAACATATTTCATATTTATATTAAAATATAAACACGCGTTGCTACAGTAACGATTAAGTTTAATATAACACATATATTGTATATTCAAAAGGTGGCTTTTATATAATTGCTTTTTAATAATCAGGTAATTGGATAAGTTTCTAATGACGTATTAGATTGTTTACATTATTGAGAAATATTTATCTTTCATTCGGATACTACTTTTGAAAATGTTATTGTTTCTATATCGGGTAGATGTCGATCAATATTTGTGAAAGTTGAACATTTGTAAAAATCGATAAATAAAATATCGATATCATGTGTACGTAGCAAAAAGATAAAATATAGAATGTTCATAATAAGAAAGGTGGTGTATGTGATAAAGATTTAGGAAATAAGACTGAGGCGAACAGGAATTTTTTCTATATTATAATTAAACGATCCTTCAAAAACTATTCTCGATAGCCCATTAACTTAATACACTTTGACAATAACGCATCATTATCTTTATAAAACTGCAACCATCTAATTGATGAATTCGTTCAAATTACATTCTTACGATATATTTACGTACCAGGTACTGTGCGTACGATTGTGCTACAATGCAATTTTTCACACGAAAAATTTTTGTTTCAACAAACGGCGTTTTATGGGCTGAAGTATTTACTAAATCAATAGCAATCCTTTTTATTTATAATCTTGGTTGTTGGAGTACAGGAACCTAAAAACCTCAATCTCTCTATATAGAGATAATACATAAATTATCGGATTTAAAATAAATGTGTCTTTAATAACCAACCTCAATAAAGTGTAGAAAATCTAATAACCGCAGCAAATTCCAAATTTTAAGTTATTTGTTATTATATTATTACTTGTGGCGTCTAATTAAATAGGTTAAATTGTATTAGTGCTACTTTTATTATTTTACTCATGTTTACTTAGTACAGTATTTCATTTATTACACAACTATTGCAATTTTTCTTGCAAAAGTAACAGATCTCAAATTTTTTTCACAGAACTAGATCAGATTCTTTTGACGCCAATTTTTTAACCTGAACAAATAGATCATTTGAATTTGTACCTAACTGAATATAGTAAAAATTTATTATCAATTTCTTAATGATAAAAAAAGGCCGCATTTTTTTAATCTATACTTTTATATTAATATTATTAGAATATAATTGATTAAATTATAAATTACACAATATAATTTTTTTTTTTTAGTTTTTAATCATCAAAA